AATGTTAAAAATGTTTAACACTGAAGTCAATACTTGTACTCAANATTAATCAACTATTTAATAAAATTCGTATTCAAAAAGACCCCTTATTCACTACAGATAAATCCGACAATATAATATTTTATAAACCTTTACCTTTCAACACTTTAACTGCTAAATTCTTTTCCATTTTTAAAAAGTACAATATCGACATTGCTTTTTCGAACCGTAATAGTATCCTCAATTTGTTATCTAATCATACTAAGGGTTGTTACTACCATCTTCTGATTAAGCTATCTAAGGGATTATTACTATGGTTACGGCTATTTCACGCGCTCTGATTGGCTAGTAGATGGGTTTATCTATAAGATAAATTTAACTAAAAGATGGTAGTAATGGACCTAAAAGAGTTTTTAATATACTTGAAAAAAGTGGCGTGTATTCGGTTGGTTGTTATAATTGTAAAAGTAAATATATTGGTCAAACGGGTATGAAATTGGAAACTAGGATTCGAGAACACAAAACTAAAGCTAACTCTAATATATTTAAACATCACATAGAAACAGGACATCAAATAAATTATAAAGAGGTCGAACTCCTACATTCTTGCAACAAAGGTTCAAAACTTAATTTTTGGAAATTTTAGAAATAACTAAAATTAAAAATGATAATGAATATACACTTCTTAACGAACAGCTTCAACTTTTTCAAAAACCTTTATTTTCATTTCTAAAAGGCTTTAACCTTAAAATTTTAATTGAAAGTTTAAAGATTTTTCAAGTTTTTTGTTTGTTTTCCGATTTCCTACTACGCGTCCACTTTGCATGTCATCCAACGACAGTCTCTTCTTCTCTCTCCGCCAATATGGTTGTTTCGTAACATCGGTTAACATCGGTTCTGTACATGATCCTTTCATAAAGGTAAGGTGGTTTGCAGCTATAGACAATAGAAACCATTCAACAAGTAATATGAAGTATACGACGATCCAACATGTTCAACCAATTTGCATTAGCCAACTTATAAGATACTCTTTCATTACGACGTATGCAGTAAATAAATCTCAGACAACATTTTTGAACCCTTTCTATCCTCTACAAATCCCTCATCATTAAACAAGGACCATAAACAAGATCGATAAACAATGATTGAATGATGAGAGAATCAAGGAATCACATAACATTAACTTCGCATCTTCATTCAACAAATGTCTGTTAGGGTAGAGCACTTTTAACCTGCCATACGAATGCTTAATCAATACATTAACGTGATCGGTGAAATGTAAATCATTGTCAACCTCTAGATCTAATATCTTAACTTTATTAACAAAATTAATATTTGTATTCTTTATTTTAATATTCATATTATTACTAGTATTACATAACTTTCTAACTTTTTTATTGCCAAAAATTATAGTCAATGATTTATTCGGATTCAACCACAACAAATGTGATTCGGATCAAGGTCCTCATTTATAAGCCTAATAGCATTATGGATCTCTTGCAAGGGAAACGAGTAATAAATGACAGTATCATCCGCATATAGGTGGTATTTACAAGTTGTTATATGAGTAGGTAATGCAGAAGTGTATATTACAAACAAAAGAGATCCAAGAATTGAACCCTGCTCCGAAACACATTCGCCAATCCTCACCTTCTGAAATCTGTCTTTCCGATAACTTTCCCGCAACCCAACAGAATCATTCTTTAGCCCGACATCACGCAGAATAGCAATAAGCATCTTGTGGTTAACAGTATCAAACGCTTTACTGTAATCTAGAGTCACAAGTATGGTAAGAAGTCCTAAATCGGACGCTTTATGAATGTCATCAATGACGCCTGTAGTGCTGTTTCACAAGAATATCCATTGCGAAATCCTGATTGAAATCCCGATCCTGATATTTAGGCAAAACATCTTGATTATATATATAATCACATAGCTGATCCGCTAGCACACGCTCAAAAATGTTTGACATGGTAGGTAATATACTAATCGGGCGAAAATCGTTAAAATTAATAGGCTGTGATGTCTTCGGGACAGGTCTAATGAGCGATTGCTTCCAGCACTGTGGGACAGTGTAGGAAGTAATGCAAGCATTGATAATGTGGAGGATCTCCGGTACAATATTTTATCCACAACAACTCGTTTTTATTTTTGCAATAGCCGTTTCGATAACACTATCAGATACCTCAGTAAAGGAAAAAGTAGTTCCAATACCACCCCTGAAGTAAGTTTTATAATACTCTAGCAAGGACTCATCTAACTGAAAGTTTTGTTGAGAAGAGGTCATAAAGAATTCATTACAATCCGAGAGATTAATATCAAGCCGTCTGACGTTTTTCGATTTAATAATGTTGTTATTTCTTAGAAACCGCCATTTATCAGCATTTGAGGTGTTGGACAATTTCTGCTTAAAATAAGCTTTCTTTTCTTATCTGTAATAAGATTACGCAAAGTCCTGTAATATTTACCATGTGCAGGATTTCCCGTGGTTTTGTATTTAATTAAATGCTTTATTCTTCAGTCTAATCATAAGTTTAATATTGTCCGTCACCCAAGGTGTTTTAGGCTTATTATTATATATAATCGAGACAAAGGGAATATGAAGATCTAAAAGTTGCACCAAATTAGCAATAAAAAATTCCAATTTATCATCAACACCAATGATCTCGTACATGTCAAACCAAGGAACTGACATCAAGTCAGTGTAGAAAATATCATAATCAAAATTTTTAAAAGATCTAACACATCGACTGACCGGCGGTAAAACTGATTCCATCACATTAAAGGTACAATAGACAACACAATGGTCTGAATTGCCCGAATCCGATACACCAACATCAGAGACAATACAATCCTCAAATGTAACTATGTAATCTAAGCAAGTTAAGTTTCCTGCAATTCTTGTAAGCCCACAGATTAGTTGTTTTAAGCGGAAACTCACAAACACATCACACAAACGTTTCCAAGTAGTTGCACCATCACACAATGCATCCACATTAAAATCTCCCAAACACAATATTTCATAAGTGGAGGGACAAACAAATGTCAACGAGTCCTCAAATTAGATCAAAAAATTTGAATAATTTCCAAGACCACATCTATATATCACACCAACCACAATTTTGGTATATCGACAACTGATCTCAATCCACAATTGCTCCAATGAGCTGGAAATGCCATGAAACAATCGCTTAGGCCTAAGGGAACTATGAACATATAATCGAACTCCACCACCCAAAGATAATCTAAGTCCACACTTGTACTCAACCAGGTCTCAGTTACAGCTAAAATGTCTATACCTTCCTGCTACTCTCGGTTGTATTTCTCGTGAATGGATGGGTTGGACTTGATGTATATTATCTCTCTTTTCCGGTAGTGCGGACCATAACTGTTATTGTAATACCTTGCGAATTTCGTCTTCTCTATTATTTGCGGGTAGTTCTTTTCGCAATTACCACATTTAAGTTGGTTGTCTATTGAATCGCGAGTACAATTTTTGATTTAAAATGATAATATTTAGGGATTTCTTGGGAAGATTTACTGATATATTTTTGAATATTATTTATGATTTATTGCAAACAGACAAATTTATATGAACAGACGAATTAACGAAAATAATAAATGTTGCATGGGAGTTCTGTCTAAAACGCCTTTAAAACATTTGACTATTGCGTGCTTATGACGTAAGGTCTTAAAACTTTGACCTTAACCGCAACATTTGCTAAAACACTTTAAACTGCAGAGAAAAATGAAGAGGTCAATGCTTAGTGTTATTGATGTGATTACCCGAATTGCAAAACGCAAATGGAATTGGGCAGAGAAGTAGAGGAAGGCCACTCCAACGCTGGACTGATGATATCAAAAGAATTACAGCAAATTAGATATAGAGCGCGCAAGATAGAGAGATCTGGACAAAAACGCGGAAGGCCTATGTTCAGCAGTGGACGTTAAAGGCTGGAAGATACACATAAGTTCACCTTCAGCTTCACTTTTAGTTGGATTGGGATCTATTCTGATATTAGGCTTACATGTTTAAGCTTTTTTTTTTGTTTAAAGCATTGTTAGGCTTTAATTTGAATATTCCGCAGATAGCTGACATTTGGTCTTTCTGACAGTGCTCAAATAGATCCAAACACATTAATTTCTACTACATGAGAAGAATTGCTATGTTCCAAGCGGAGTATGTCCATGCAGCTGCTAAAGCAAATATTTTAAATCCATATTTATTTGGATTTAGAACATCTTTCCCTAGATCTCTCCAATTTCTCGCCCACTGTAACATACTCATCTACAGTTTGGAAACTTAGACAATTTTAAACAGACCCAAGTCAAAAGCGCAGAGATGAAATATATGCGAAAAATAGTACTAAAACCAGAAAAAGATTTCCTTTTCCTACTAGTCACCATTTTGGCGAAGCTTTTCGCAACACCATGATGCATAGTAAAAATACCATACAAAAATAAATAATCATTAGAATAAAATTTAATAAATTATATGACGTTTTAATATGCTGGATTGAGACCTTAAGCACAGTCACCACACTTCATCTTTTAATTATCTCTAAAATACACCTTCAAAACCACGTTCCGCGAAAGAATATTTTAAAAATTGTAATTATGCAATGATGAAAAAATATTTCATTTACAATAATCTAAAATGATTCTTTATTATTTGGGATTATTTAAAATTTTGCAATTGAACATTAACTTAGTACTGTTGGGGATGATGCTTTGAGATTTTAAATAATTATATTAATCGCAATTTAACAAACTAGTTATCTATAACCATTGAGAAAAAAAAACATTAAATATCTCAGGAACAATAGCGAGGTCTATAAAGTTTTATTTTTATTTTTCGTCGAAAAAATAACATAATACTAACCATATAATATTAATTTTTGCTTCTTTCGAAAAAACCCCTTATCTATGTCGCTATTTGTCCAATTAGGACTTCGGAGATATGCTTAATCCTGTTATTCGAGATAAATTCATTAATACCCTTATAAAAACATGCTGGGGAATATTTCCGCCAAAAGTAAAAATATTTTCAATGTGATTATATTAAGAGGACGTGTAAAATTCTTACAGTTTTAGTGTAGTTTTTTTTTGAAGAGATGATTTATGTCGTTTTAATCACCACAACGTTGGTGATTACACTTTCTTCTTCAACAAGTAAGTACTTAACACAATATATCTAAATAAAAGATATTTACAATTAAAACTTTTTTTAGAACTCGATCAATGTCCTTCAATAGATGAATTCTCTATTCACTTGCCCCACGAAAATGATTGCACGAGATATTATCAATGCAAAATGATTGAATGTCCACCCAATTTACATTTCAACCCTGAATTAGGAGTTTGTGACTGGCCACAAACTGCGGGATGTGAACCTGGAACAGGTACAACAACGCAAAGTACAGGTGATTGTGATGATACGACCACCACATGTGCTGGGGGCACCACAACGGAATCTGGTGTTGGTGTCATATGTCCAGAAAACGGTGTTCATTTACCACACGAATCTGACTGTACAAAATTCTATATATGTGATTGGGGCAAACCGATTCTTCAACAATGTCCCGGTGGACTTCATTTTAATCCATCTCTACAAGTATGTGATTGGCCGGCAAACGCGGGTTGTGAAGCAAACGTTGGCAGTAGTACAACACCGAATGGAAATGGAGAAGAAACTTCAACACCAAATGGAAATATAGAAGAAACCACAACATCATCTGGAAATGGAGAACAAACTACAACACCAGCTGGAAATGGAGGCGAAACCACAACATCAGCTGGAAATGGAGGAGGTGAAAGTTGTAACGGTATTGACTGCACAACGGAATCAGTTACAACACCAATTGGGGGTGGTGGAAGTACCGGAGGATGGGATGGTGTTTGTCCAGAAGAAAATGGAGAGAACATAGTATTATTACCTCATGAAACAGACTGCAACAAATTTTACAAATGTGATTGGGGTAAACCAATTCTTCAGCAATGTCCAGATGGACTTCATTTTAATCCATCTTTACAAGTATGTGATTGGCCGGCAAATGCTGGTTGTGAAGTAAACGGTGGCGGTAGTACAACGCCGAATGGAAATGGAGAAGAAACTTCAACACCAAATGGAAATATAGAAGAAACCACAACATCATCTGGAAATGGAGAACAAACTACAACACCGGCTGGAAATGGAGGCGAAACTACAACATCATCTGGAAATGGAGGTGGTGAAAGTTGCAACGGTATTGATTGCACAACGGAATCAGTTACAACACCGATTGGGGGTGGTGGAAGTACCGGAGGATGGAATGGTGTTTGTCCAGAAGGAAATGGGGAGAACGTAGTATTATTACCTCATGAAACAGACTGTAATCAATTTTACAAATGTGATTGGGGTAAACCAATTCTTCAGCAATGTCCAGATGGACTTCATTTTAATCCATCTTTACAAGTATGTGATTGGCCGGCAAATGCTGGTTGTGAAGTAAACGGTGGCGGTAGTACAACGCCGAATGGAAATGGAGAAGAAACTTCAACACCAAATGGAAATATAGAAGAAACCACAACATCATCTGGAAATGGAGAACAAACTACAACACCGGCTGGAAATGGAGGCGAAACCACAACATCAGCTGGAAATGGAGGTGGTGAAAGTTGCAACGGTATTGATTGCACAACGGAATCAGTTACAACACCGATTGGGGGTGGTGGAAGTACCGGAGGATGGGATGGTGTTTGTCCAGAAGAAAATGGAGAGAACGTAGTATTATTACCTCATGAAACAGACTGCAACAAATTTTACAAATGTGATTGGGGTAAACCAATTCTTCAGCAATGTCCAGATGGGCTTCATTTTAATCCATCTTTACAAGTATGTGATTGGCCAGCAGAAGCGGGATGTGAAGGAAACGGTGGCGGTATTACAACACCGAATGGAAATGGAGAAGAAACTACTACATCTAATGGAAACGGAGGAGAAAATACAACACCGCCAGGAAATGGAGGCGGTGAAGGTTGCAACAGTGGTGACTGTACAACAGAAAAAAATACAACACCGATTGATGGTGGTGGAAGCACTGGAGGATGGAATGGTATATGTCCAGAAAAAAACGGTGAAGATCTAGTTCTTCTCCCACACGAAACCGATTGCACCAAATTCTATAAGTGCGATTGGGGAACACCAGTTCTTTATAACTGCACCGATGGTCTCCATTTCAATCCAGTTTTAGGAATTTGTGATAGACCCGAAGATGCTGGCTGTTCAGAAAACAGTGGAGGAGGCACAACACCTGGCGGAAATGGAGGTGGTGAAAATTGTAATGGCACCGATTGTATAACGGAAGGGGTCACATCCCCGGGGGGAAATGGGGGTGGAGAAAACTGCAATGGAATCGACTGCACAACAGAAAAGGTTACGACTCCTGGTAATGGCGGAGGAAGCACCGGCGGATGGAACGGTGTGTGTCCAGAAGAAAACGGTGAAGATCTAGTTCTTCTCCCACACGAAACCGATTGCACCAAATTCTATAAGTGCGATTGGGGAACACCAGTTCTTTATAACTGCACCGATGGTCTCCATTTCAATCCAGTTTTAGGAATTTGTGATAGACCCGAAGATGCTGGCTGTTCAGAAAACAGTGGAGGAGGCACATCACCTGGAGGAAATGGAGGTGGTGAAAGTTGTAATGGTACCGATTGTATAACGGAAGGGGTCACATCTCCGGGAGGAAATGGAGGTGGAGAAAACTGCAATGGAATCGATTGCACAACAGAAAAGGTTACGACTCCTGGTAATGGTGGAGAAGCACCGGCGGATGGAATGGTGTGTGTCCAGAAGAAAATGGTGAAAATCTAGTCCTTCTCCCACATGAAACTGATTGCACGAAATTCTATAAATGTGACTGGGGACAACCTATCCTCCAAAATTGTAGTGATGGTCTCCACTTTAATCCAATTCTAAAAGTGTGTGATACACCCATAGAGGCAGGCTGTGAAAAAACCGATGGAAATACATCTCCAAGTACTGTAACACCTACAACTCCTAACATCGAGGAAAATATTCCAGAAGGAGGAGGCTATTGTGCAACATTGGGTTGTCCCCCACTTAATGGAAAATATGTGTACTTTTTACCTTATCCAAATGATTGCAGAAGATTTTGTAAATGTGATTGGGGAAAGCCGTACGAATTTATTTGTCCAGCAGATTTACATTTTAATACAGAACTAGATATATGTGACTATCCAGATGATGCTGGTTGCTATACTGAAATTATTCCTTAACATGATTTAACTTTATTATATTTAACCGTTCCACATGTGTACATTTTATATAAAATAAAGATATTTTTATTTTAGTATTGGGATCAACAGCTTATTTATTTCAATTATAGTTGATCTTGCACAATGATATCAATCAAAGGGTTATTAAAATAACAAATAATACCGACCCAAATTTAAAAAATAAAATGCTATCTCAAGTGCGATACGAGTGGACTTCCGATAATCGAATCGCCACTATATAAAGGGAATCCAACACAGTTCCGGACAGAGCGCAATCGGTCTTTGAATTGTTATATTATTGAGTTTTAGAACTTTCTATAATGAATATGCTTTCCGTCAGTATTTTACTGGCGATTAGCTTCGTTACTATAAGTAAGTTTAAATCTTAATAGTTAATAAAAGTATTATTACAATTATTTTCTTACATATAATAACATTAATTAACTTTAATTTGCGTGAACGTAGGTGCCGTGCCAAGTTGTCCTGCCGTAAATGAAGAAATTGCTACATTACTTCCCCATGATTCCGATTGTTCAAAATTTTATAAATGCGAAACTGGAGTAGCAATTGTGTACGACTGTCCTGCAGGACTCTATTTCAACCCAGTCCTTTCAGTATGTGATTATCCCGAAGAAGTAGATTGTAATGGAAGTGGTGGAAATGGCGGAAGTACATCACCAACTCAAGGAACTACCGATGGTGGAAACGGTGGAAGCACTGGTGGTGGAAGCACCGGAGGTGGAAGTACCGGTGGTGGAAGCTCTGGTGGCCCTGAATGCCCAGCAGTAGATGGCGAATTCGTTACCTTGTTCCCACATGAAGATTGTACTAAATTCTGGAAATGCGATAGAGGAGTTGCTGTTGAGAAAGATTGCCCAGCCGGTCTGTACTTCAATCCAACTCTCTTTGTATGCGATTATCCCGAGGATGCTGGTTGCGACGGAACTGGAATTGGTGGTGGAACTACTCCAACCCCAACTCAAGGAACTACCGATGGTGGAAATGGCGGAAGCACTGGGGGTGGAAGCACCGGAGGTGGAAGTACCGGTGGTGGAAGTTCTGGTGGCCCTGAATGCCCAGCAGTAGATGGCGAATTCGTTACCTTGTTCCCACATGAAGATTGTACTAAATTCTGGAAATGCGATAGAGGAGTTGCTGTTGAGAAAGATTGCCCAGCCGGTCTGTACTTCAATCCAACTCTCTTTGTATGCGATTATCCCGAAGATGCTGGTTGCGACGGAACTGGAATTGGAGGTGGAACTACCCCAACCCCAACTCAAGGAACTACTGATGGTGGAAGTAGCTCCCAAGGAACAACAGGAGGCACTACTCTAACCACTCCGAATCCAAGTGATGGCTACTGCCAAACTTTAGGCTGTCCAGAATTAAACGGAGAATGGGTATATTTCTTACCGTACCCAGGTGATTGCAGACGTTTCTGTAAATGTGATTGGGGAAAACCTTATGAATTTACATGTCCAAGTAACCTCTACTTCGACACAATTCTCGACGTTTGTGTTTTCCCAGAAGACACAGATTGTACAAATGCATAGTTTTGATGAATTATTGGTTGTATGACAAAAGACATCGATTAGAAAATAAATATCGGCAATGACAATTGCTTGTTGTTTTCTTGGACTCTCATTATAATTTATTGTTAAAACTGAATAAACAATTTCAAATAAATTCAAATCGAAAAAGAAATTCATCTTACCTTTATTTTTTTTATCATATTCATTACAAGATAACATCAAAATAATATTAACAACAAATATAAAGCAATAAGGTTTATGTTATAAGTGGACTAACACTTCATTATTATCTAGCCTAATTATTTTGTGTAATCGTGGTCCTTTTTTAAGGAAAAAAATGCATTAATCATTGACACAGCATTAGCTGACTATGTGTTGTATGATTTAAGGTCTATTTGCACACATCAGTTCCGTGCCGTATTCGTGCATCAGTATCAGTGGTACATGATACCGTTGCCTTTATTTTATATGAACACGTTCACACACGTGCGACACTGTAACGATTTTTCCCATCAGAATTGTATTAGTATCAGTGCAGTGAAAACAAAAGTAACAGCCTCATCCAAATTAATGGGTTATTTAACTGGACATAACTGGCATACTATTTCTTTTAAATTCTGTCATTTGGCATGGCACCGACCCAGCCTCTGAGTTGAAGAAATCTTTGAAGAGTTCCCTTACCCGGAAAACATCTCTCGTATTTCCACCTTGCTTTGGCAACTTTTCAAGTCTACTATCTTCCGTATCGGTGGTATTTGTAATGTCGTGTTTGTAGGTGTTGCTTGGGTGTTGGTATCAATTTTTTTAATGAAATTATGTAATACACATGTTGTAAGTATTATGGAATCAACATTTTCTGCTTTAGCTTAAATTCGAGTGTTATAAATTCTGAATTTTTGTGTCAAAATGCCAATTACGTTTTTAACAATTCTTCTGGCATGACATAAACGATAATTGAACATGCGTTTGGAGCATCTAAATCTTGTCCCCTAAGGCCTCGTCCCTAACAAATAACAAATGAAGGTTCAGTAGCTGTGTTTGGCAAAACAGCATTTTGTGGAACTGATAAACTGTTTTGTTGAAGTGCTTTTCCTAGACTGGTATTTACAAAAATCCCCCATCGCCGTTTTATGAACCAGCATTAACGGCCATGAAATTGAGTTTGGATCAACAAGTGCCAACAAGACATCAGAAAACGCCGTCTTATAATTAAAGAATAACGAACCGCTATCTAACACTCCTAAACAGTTAGGACAATTCCAAAGCACATAAAAGTTGTTAGCAATGGATTTCCACATCTGTTCCATAGGATTTGATAGCATTTTAGATATTAGGTTGTCAGTTATGATCCTACATGTATCCATGACTGTTTTGTGTACAGTAGCATGTCCCAAGCGAATTTGAACTATCATTGAACATAAGCAACAGCAAATATATGCTGATAACAAACACAACTCAAGACAACCGTAGAATATACGAGAATGTAAAGTGAGAAAAGAAAACTGTTATATATGGGTAAAATCATAAGAGGAAAAAATATCTAACACTCCAAGTTATTACACATTGAGAAATCAGAGGAAAGAAATGCATAGACAGAAGACGAAACTCATAGCTGACGAACCATACGGAATGGTTTGGATGCACCAGCAACCAACGATTTTAAGCTGAGGCCTCAAAAGTGAAAATCGCCTTAATGATTGCCAGTTTTCGGAATGGAGACGATTTCTGAAGAATAAGTGATAATACATATATGTGAGTCGACTAAATGATGAAACGAAAAGTTGAATTTGATGCATTCATGCAAAATTTAACACATCTGATACATATAAATTTTACAAACAAGAACCTACTTAACCCTTCACCTTTGACTATTAACGAAACAATAGTTCCATAAAACCACGACGTATAGGTCTTCGTTTATGTCTGGGCATTTTTGTGTCATGACAATAAGTGGTTTCTTTATTCTTAGGCCTTTCCGAAATCCAAATTGATGTCTGTATCCAATTGTATTCAGTGCATACGACTGCTATGCACTGAATATCACTTCGTCTTTAATTATATGAAGACCAACTCCCCTTCTACATATTCAAAGTTAACTTCTCGTCTCTCATCTTTGAAGTATTAGAATATATTACAATACAGTTTTTCTATATTTTGTGTTATTGTTTTATTTCTGCGGACATTTTCCTATTGTCACTGCACTGCACTTTGAATTGTTTACTTGTGCCTGCGAGTTCTGTGACATTTTTGTGTATGTTGATGTTGTCATGTAACTCCTCAATCTCTTCACATTTTTGTTTGTAATATTCTTCCTTCATTTTCCTGATATTTGTGCGAAATATTTGTTGCGTTATTTTATAGAGCTGATCATTATTTCCTACGAAGTTTCTCTTCTTATTCATGAGAATACAATTTAAGAATTTCGATGTGCATTCAGGCCTAATCATTCTAATCAGTTAATCTAGTAGCTTCTGAATCAAAGTCGGAGACATCATCTTTCGAAAAGATCCTACTGAGGCCACAAAGCAAACTATAAACCAATATTGAACTTGGTATTCATTATAGTGTAGCAGACAATCTGGACAGCAATGCTCATACATTATTGTTTTTCTTTACTAAAAAGTACTCAGAATATTTGGTGATTTAGTTTATGTGCACTAAATGCGTGTTGGAGTGACTTTTCGCTCCCAACCACATTTTGTAGCTGTTCATGTAAGCGTGTCTGCAATCCTTTTATGGCATCTTAGTCAAAAACTGACTTTGTAAACCTACTTTTCCATCCAGAAAATTTTCCCGTCTGCAACTGTGGCACATCTTGAGGGAGTACTTCAGCTCTAAATAAATCCTTCATTCCCTTGTTAGAACTGATTGTTTCTCATTACAAGGCTACCTAGCATTGTTTCTGTTGAATCCGTTTTCACACGAGAATACAAATTGTACTGGCACGATTCAATGTCAAGTTTATTTATATGGTTATCACTTGTCAAAATTGTAAATAAACTTTGAAATACGAAACTCACTAGAAGTAACTAAATAGTTTGCTCTCTCGTGGCTAGATGAGCCGATAATACACAACCATCGAAGCTTTCGGCGTTTACTAATATAAAATTGCTAAAATTGCTAAATTATTGTTTGCTAGAGCTAAAACACACGACAGGAGATTTAGAAAGTTTACTCGAAATCAGCACGGAACGTAAGATTTGTAGGTAAGTCCAAGGTAAGTTTCGTGGAATCAGACCACGAGTTGAGCGCGTGTCAATAGAACAAATTGAGGTCTTTATTTCATAAATCTAGGAATTATGATGTACTGATAAAAATAGAATCTGATAAAATCGATGGCGAAATATGTCCAAGTACTGAAACACCCAAAATCCCTAATATCGAGAAAAGAAATTTCCCAGCAGAAGACCTATTATGAAATGTTGAAAAATATGTATATTATTAAATATATCCTATCATATTTAGATATCCTATATCATATTTTGACATTTCCTTTTTAATGTACCAGATATATGGGACCTATATCTGGATACTATCCAGATAATGTTGATTACTTTACCAAAGCAGCTACACAATACAATTCAATTTTATGGTATTTAACACATCCACATGAGTACTTTTTGAACAAAATAAAGATATTTTTATTTTAATACTGGGATCTACAGCTAATTCATTTCATTCATTGTTGATCTTACACAATGATAACAATCAATAACCCATTAAAATAGCAAATAATACCAATTCAAATTAAAAAAAAAATGTTATCTCAAGTGCTATATCAATGTACTTCCTCCGATAATCGAATCGCTACTATATAAAGGTAATCCAATACAATCCCAGACATAGCTCAACTGATCATTGAATTATTATATTATTAGATTTTCTACAATGAATACACTTTCCGTCAGTATTTTACTGGCGATTGGCTTTCTAACTACAAGTAAGTTTTAATCTTTATAATTACATTTATATCACAATAATATTTTCACTTTAATTTCTTTATAATAATATTAATTAATTCCAATTTTGAAAATAGGTGCCATACCAAATTGTCCTGACCGAAATGAAGAATTTGCTACTTTACTTCCCCATGAATCTGATTGTTCAAAATTTTATAAATGCGAAGCTGGCGTAGCAGTTGTATACGATTGTCCAGCAGGACTGTATTTCAATCCAGTCCTATCAGTATGTGATTATCCCGAAGAAGTAGACTGTGGTGGAAGTGGAGGAAGTGCTGGAAGTACTTCTCCAACCGAAGGATCCACTGAGGGTGGAAATGGAGGAAGCCCAGGAGGCGGAAGTACTGTTGGCGGTGGCTCCGATGGCCCTGAATGCCCAGCAGAAGATGGCGAATTCGTTACATTGTTCCCACATACAGATTGCAGTAAATTCTGGAAATGCGATAGAGGAGTAGCTGTAGAACAAAACTGCCCCGCTGGTCTTCTTTTCAATCCAACTCTCTTAGTATGCGATTATCCAGAAGACGCTGGTTGCGACGGAACTGGAATTGGCGGTGGAACTACTCCCTCACCAACTCAAGGAACTACCGATGGTGGAAATGGAGGAAGCACAGGAGGCGGAAGTACCGTTGGCGGTGGCTCCGATGGCCCTAAATGCCCAGCAGAAGATGGCGAATTCGTTACATTGTTCCCACATGTTGATTGCAGTAAATTCTGGAAATGCGATAGAGGAGTAGCTGTAGAACAAGACTGCCCTGCTGGTCTTCTTTTCAATCCAACTCTATTAGTATGCGATTATCCTGAAGATGCTGGTTGCAACGGAACTGGANTGGTCTTCTTTTCAATCCAACTCTCTTAGTATGTGATTATCCTGAAGATGCTGGTTGCAACGGATCTGGAGTTGGCGGTGGAACTACTCCCTCACCAACTCAAGGAACTACCGATGCTGGAAGCAGCTCCCAAGGAACAACAGGAGGCACTACTCAAACCACTTCGAATCCAATTGATGGCTACTGTCAAACTTTAAGCTGTCCTGAAGTGAACGGAGAGTGGGTTTACTTCCTACCATACCCAGGTGATTGCAGACGTTTCTGTAAATGTGATTGGGGAAAACCTTTTGAGTTTACATGTCCAAGTAACCTCTTCTTCGATCATGTTCTTGACGTATGCGATTTCCAAGAAAATGTAGCTTGTATAAATGCGTAGTTTAAACAAATTAGTAATTACATGACTAAAATCATCTATTAGAAAGTAAATATGAACAAGGAATCCGTGTTGATTTCTGCACTCTGATTATAATTTATTCTTAGCTTTACTAAATGAATTACTCATATTATGTAAGCAGTCGTACTCATTGTAAGATAACGTAGATATTCAATAAAAAATATTATAGTAACCTGATATATATGTTTTTCAACTGTTCAAAATCAATAACAATTGTTCTTAATGTGTATGTGGGCATTACTGCTATACATTTTTTATAGTGACCTTTATTAGTTAAAACTACGCATCGTGTCAAAGTAGTTGTTTTAAGTGTGCTATCTATGCTTATTCTATACATATTTATAATTTAATTCGCTATATAAAATATCCTTTATGAAAACTTGTACTTAAAAATTGTTTTATTAGTTTAAAATCGGTCATTATCAATGGTGAATCATCCTGAGTTATTGTGCATTATTTATCATATTCTTGGTGATTTTTCTGGGTACGAAAATGTATCTGGTGGACTGTCGTTAAAATACACTCCTCTTGAGTTAACGAACTGTTCAACTAAATTAATAAAATAATGAACTGATGATTTTTCAGTTATTACACATAATTTTGATGATGTGTAGCAACCAGACTCAAGGTTGCTTCTAAATTTACTTCTAATTGTTACTGACTTAAAGCTTGCATTTTAGACCGTTTGGGCAAGATACCTTTCTTTTAGTATAACATGTCTTGTATAATCCGAGCATACTCATTCATTGGTGGATTTATTCCTGTCATAACTTTGATTATATTCGCCACAGAGCAGCTAACGGTAGTGATGGCTTCTTCGCTTGTCTCCAGAACGTGTACCAGACTGATTTCTATACTGGATAATAAAAACCACAATCAGAATTTTTACTTGTATACAGAATGAATGGGAAATCCCTGAACTGAAGACATTTCTTCCAACGTGAAAAATTAGATTTAATATTTGTTAGTAATACTCCATATGAGGGACGGGTCAGAGAAATTATCCCATCGCCACTCCCATCTCGGAGCGGAGGAGGTTTTCCTTCCCTGTCCAATATCTGAGCTGATTAATGTATCATTCACTGGATCAAATTAGATACTGGAGGGAGATTTTTATCAGTGTCGGTGAGTCCTTCGTGATCTTCCAAAAGGTGCTGTTGAAGTTTTCAAACAGCACGGTTAAGTGTCGCCACACCCAAATTTTATTGTATGCAGTAAGAACATTTAGAATGAAGTTCAGACTTCATGCATTTTTTTTGTTTCATCAGGGATTCCCTCTCATTACCGACAATCAGGTAAAATTTCACTCACCATTGTTTCTGGCACTAATGATCCAATTTCCCCTGCCATTGACGGTGCAAAAATCCTCAGTATCATCAGGTAGTGTGCAATTAATTAGGTTAGTTAGTAATTAGCATCGTCGTGATTTCTATCTTTTCTGCGAGAATGTCAGATATCAGCCGCACAGTTCAACTAGCACTAATTTGCTCGTTGTATCATCCGTTCTAGGCTTCCTAAACAAACACTTCTATTCTATATTATTATATTCTATTAGCTACCACGCACAGCGCTACACCGGAAACCATCCAGAAACACATGATGCGATGCATGCTCCTTACAAGACATTTCCTGTTTACGATTTACGCTCATCCCACAATATTGCAAATCTCCAATAATAATTATTGTTTGATTGACATCAATGTTTCAGCAACAATCTCGATATCGATAATCCTTAAAGATTTTTAGTGCAGATGAGGATTCATTTCTTTACTTTGTTAATTTTTATTTGTAATATAAGTAGAGGTCTAGCCAGGACGATGTCAACAACAGAAATGCTGTCGATGAAATTTTTAAAGCTTCGAGCCAAGCTGTTGGGAAAAGCTAAATGGGTAGCTGTCAGCTATTTATCTAAACTGGAAAGGAGAGTTTTACGACAAATGTGAGGGATTACTCACCGGTCAACACCAACTACTATATGGAGCTGCTTTATAAACTAATCCTTGGATATCATCGTTTGGCTGCAATACGTACATCGCACGTTCGTTTGCCAATATAGTCAAGTTTTCTTACAGTACTCTCACACTTTTATGGTACCAATATACCCAACGGTATCTAATTTTCTGTTGACCTTTTCCAACACCAGATTGATCAGTGTAGCTCACAGTACGTTAGGGTGATGTCACTTACCAGTATCAACGTTTTTAAATTCAATGTATTATGGCATTCCTAGAAAAGAGGAGGTCATTTAACATTTCTCGTGTCCCAACGCAATCGAAGGTTTGTTTAAAGTCTACATATAATATATGTAAATCTATGTCGTATTCGTTGGCTTTTTCTGGTATTTGTCATAAGACGAATATTTGATATTTGATTCTCGCCCAGAATTTTCTCATTATACTCGACCAACTTATTAACACATGATAGAATCGTATATATGCTACACTATAGTATATGGTACACTTATTGCATACTTTAATACATAATGAATATAAAATATTCAGATATTTCCATACACTAGAGTTGATCAATTAAGAAGCACTATATAAAAATTAATTACCTATATAACAATATCGAATAGTATTATGACACATTTTTGAAACAAAGGACTCGGTTAGCTTAATCATTTAATAATATTTGATCCAATTTCTTTAAACCGATTCGTAAGTAATTCAGAAAGACATCTCTTATCAACTACAAATTCTACACGAAAATCCAATTTACGCTTTTCAGCTACATTTAATTATTGGACATTCGATGCTTGTCGAAAAGGTAGGTATTTCCACCGAAAATTAATCAATTCAATTATAAATTATATTGGAATGTTAACGTAATTGGAATGAATTTCCGCGAATGATAAGCATAGTATAAAAGGAATGATTTAAAAAAATTTGACAAAGTCGCCTTTTAATCTTAGTAAAGTTAATAACGAAAGTTTTTAAAATAAAAATGAAAGGTAATAATTGTTGTTGTTACTTAGTTAATGTTAAAAGTACGTTTATATTCACAGGATTAGTTGTGTATGGATTTATCTTTATTGCAATTCAATACTTTGGATATGTTGGTTAGTAAATACTTAATATATTTTAAAAATTTTTTTTCATTAAATTATTTTTATTAAATGTAGATGGGGACCCTGCAGAAAAATGTCCGAGTACAAACGGGAACGCTCTTCTTCCCGACGACACCGATTGTCACTTCTTCTACCAATGTAGTTGGGGAGTAGCTTATCCCATGGAATGCTCCGGCGATCTCATTTTTGATTACAAACTTCAAGTTTGCAACTACCCTGCACAAGCTGTCTGTTACAGCCATATCAATACACCGGGTGGTAGTCAAAAACCAAGTAGTAGCGAAAGTCCTGCAAGTGGTGGAGAAACTGGTGATTCTGGTGAATCATGGAACGAAGCTTGTACGAGCGATATTGTTCAATACTATTTTCCGGATCCTAAAAATTGCAAAGCTTTCTATATTTGTAACGCGGGAATCTTACATCACATTGTTTGTCCGGATGATAAAGTTTATAATCCCGCGTACAGAATTTGTGACTTTTCAAGAGGTATTACATGTTCTGAAACACCAGGTGCGGTTGATCCTGAACCTGTTGATCCTGGCAGTGGTGGTGAAGATGGAGGTGAAGACGGTGGTGAAGACGGAGGTGAAGATGGAAGTGGAAATGGAGGTGAACACTCTGGGGAATCATGGCAAAGTTCATGTACACTAGGTAAAGAGTCAAAAGATTAAAAATTTAACTGCCATTTAGATGTCGTTACAAATACATTTTTTTTGCAGGCAGCATTCAAATTTATTACCCAGACCCAGAAGATTGCCAAGGTTTTTACATGTGCGAATTTGGTACATTAAAGCACATGTCATGTCCTGTAGGAACCCTCTATAATGCGGCATTATTAATTTGTGATTATCCTGGAAATGTAAGATGTTCACAACAGCCTGAAGTTGTTAATCCAGAACCAGTTAACCCCGGAGATGGAGGAAGTGGAGATGGTGGTAGTGGAGATGGTGGTAGTGGAGATGGTGGTAGTGGAGATGGTGGTAGTGGAGATGGTGAAAATACAGGAGAAGATGGTGGAAATTCAGGAGAAGATGGTGGAAATACAGGAGGAAATGGTGTTGGAGAATCATGGTCGGAACCTTGTAGCTTAAATAACAAACAAATGTATTTTCCCGATTCAGAAAACTGTCAAGGATTCTACATTTGTGAATTCGGAACGTTGCAACACATGATGTGTCCACCAGGAACGCTGTATAATGCTCCTATATTAACATGTGATTTTCCAGGAAATGTGAGATGCTCAGAATCCCCCATAGGTATCGATCCGGAACAAGTTAATTGAAAGAAATATAATATAAATAAATTATAAATATAAGCATATATTAAAAACAATATAATAATTAATTATCATTAATTTAAAAGAGGTGTTTAGCACATAAATATCAAAAATGTTATTATTTATTATACTACGAAATTGTTAAAATTAAAACAAAAATTATTATAAAGTAAAATATCTCGATAAAAAATCAATCTATCAAAGTCACTTAATCCAACATAAAAAAAATTTAGTCATTCGATATCTCCCGGATGTTTACCTACACAATTTTTTATCTTTGTAGCAATTTACAATAATACGTTCAATGCAAAATTAAAAAAAATATAAAAAAATATTGTATGAAAATATTGTAAGAAATTTCTACCAATCAATCATTGTTAGAAATTTGAACATTTCCGAGGATTATTAGACGAGTATCCATCCGAAATCTGATATTTAAAAAAATTGCATTAAATTTTAGTGCTTGAATTAAAAGTTATATAAATTAATACCAATTGAAATGGTTTAATTGGCTCTATTAGTAACAATTAAAGTTAATAATACTTTTAATGAAATAATAATAATGAAATACAATTCTTAAAGCAAGTTGCTTTCATAACTTTATTAACATTATTCCGTTACAGTCACCATTGAAGTAATTTTCTGCAAGGCTCATGGTAATATCAAAAAAAGTTTTATACAAGAAACAGCTTTTGGAACCATTCACCACACCAGTACACTTTAATTTTTTTACCCTTTATATAAGATATTATACCATCAAAAACTTCATTTGATATTGCTGGATTATTCATTAGATAATTATTCAGCATTTTACGATCTCAAGCATTCTGATCATAAATTATGTTAAAGCTTGTCTTCTTCTTCTTTCTCTTGTCCTCATTCTACCTCCGCGTGTTAGGTCTTGGATCTATCTCTACCTATTCATCGTACTTCGGCGACACTTCCCTCATTTCAACGCTACTTCCTCTGTTACTACTTCCTACTAAATGCTTGATCACGCCTCGTTCTCATTCTTTGTGGTTTCAGCACAAATATACAATATATCTTCCCTCATCCATTCGAACTCCCAAGTTCTTCTCCCCCACTCTTGTTTCGTTGTCTTTCTCTGGTGCTCCTATTTTAGATTTTTGTAAACTTAATTCTTTTTTACCTACTAACTGCTTCTTCTATTCTGTTGCGTCATTCTTGATCTATCTTGCCATCTTTACTAATCATGACCAGACATTCGTATTTTTCTGGTAGCTATTCTTACATCTATGTTCTCTTCTTTGTTCCTTTGTGATGTGTATGATTTTGTTTTCATTCATGATTTTTATCATTTTCTTCTCTTGCAGACAGCTTTTCGATATTTAGATGTTTTTTGTATAACATTTACATAGCCAGACATTAGTACATTATCGTCTGCGAGAACAAGATCTCGGGCGCAGATTATTGTATCCATGTAGGCTACCAACATTAGTGGGCTTAAAATGTTATCCCGTTTAACTCCCGTTTTCATTCTAACTAAATTCAAACTCGATGTTTTTCCATTCAAGCTAACTGTTCCTTCACTTTTCTGTATATACTTTTGATTAGTCTTTGTAGTTTTAAACTTGTCCCGTTCATTTAATGCATTCCATATATTATGTTGTCTTGGTAGCTTATTTCTGTGTATTGTTTTCTCTATAAAGCCGGACCGCTGTGTGCCCTTCTTCAAGTTTATCCTCTCTTTCTGAACTCCTAATCATTTTTGTAAGAATTTGGAGTAAGGTTTAAGCGCCACTGGTGCCAAACCGACCACCCTGAAATATTGGTAGCCAGTTGATTCTCCTTTTTTGTGGATTGCCACGATTATGTTCTTCTTTCAATCTTAGAGTATTGTTTTAGATTTCCAATTCTGCCGGAATATTTTTTTCAGCCACCGTTCTACTGACAGTCACCTTCTTTAAGTCTTACTGCGTAGTAGTTCCTCCATGATTCCAGTATGCTTTTACTGGTCATCTGTAACTCTCCATTTATTATTTTTGGTTTATATTTCAAATTAGTGTCAGTTATCAACAATGCGTAGTCCGTACTAAGTTCTGCACCTCGTATTACCTTCACGCCTCGGATTGCGTATCTTATGTGTCTAGAGTATGTGATGTAATCTGTTATACTTTTCTGTACTCTTCCGTCTGCTTCGTATGTTAACATATGTTTGAACGACGTGTTTCTTGTTAGTACTTGGTTATTGATGCACAAATCTATCATTCTTTCGCTGTTGTTGATAAGTGTCTCTTGTCCTTCTTGTTCTCTCGTTCATATCACATATGTCTAATACATGTTTACACAATTCTTTGTAGGTAATCATAAAAAAGATCTTAATAAATATATTTGTTTTATATCAACATTTTCTCTAATTTGAGAAAGAATATTAAATTTCTCGAGTTTATGAGCTTGTCTTTCCCGGCCTCGCTTGTTACAAACTCTACTTCCCCCCTTTCGCTTTCTCACGGAGAGGTCTACTCCTTGTATTTCTCCATCTCGTCTTACTTCTCGTACTTCTTTTGCTGTCAAAGTTTTAATGTTCCATTTTCTTATCAGTTGTCACCGGTCATCTTCTGTTCAACAACTCTTCTTCTAGACCGTCGTTGTGGGTGATTGACTCAATGACAGTGGTTGACTGGAGTTGAGCCTTTTCATTGGTTGCAATTTTATGGTATAACGTGACCCAAATAGCTTTTTTCATGCCCCCAATAGAGGTGTAGTGTTTATCAACATGCTTGTTAATTTACCTCTGTTGTCCAAATTTTTAGTCCTCGCTACATTTCGCTGCCAAGTTCCAATTTTTTTCTGAACAGCAACATCTGAAATGTCCTCCAAGTAGTAAATACCAGGCAAAAGTGTTTACCTATGCATTTTAACATCCAAATAAGTTTCTGGTTCGAAAGCACGATATCGTATTGAATAAAATTGTAATAATATGACATATATGATACATCCACGAAAATGTATTTTTGTTTATACAACCGTTTGAAGTATTCATGTTCAAATAAACTATGAGATATTTTAGGTGTAGATGATACATGAATATATTCATTGTTATCAAGAATGACTAGATTCTCTTTAAGTTTCTCTTGCTGTGACCAAATTACACCATCAAAACTGGTGACCCTGGCGTGGCCCAATAAGTAGACGAGACTGAAGAGAACAAGAGTTAGGAAGAAAAAAACTAGAAATCGTGAAGACATTTTCAACACTCAGTGTCACAATCCAAGTGTATTAATTGAACATAAATTGGCAGTCGCCGCAAACTGTAATTTGGTAAAGATTTCGCAATTGTGGTATAGAAATTTACTGTTATGAATGCTAAATTTGGGCATTATGATATTATCATCGAAGATGCTGACACAGGCAAACACTCTTTGCTCAAAATTAAAAATTCCTGGAGGAGGTTGTTCCAGTATTGTATCTACTTCCTTTACCTACTTGTCTCAAAATTCTATGTTATTCAGGTTACCTTCGTGCAGTTACTCTTGTTTTAGACTACCTTATACTGGTTGATCCACATCATACTGCTCTTCTGATCCTTACAAGCAGAAAACTTGTTCTTTTATCTATTATCAGGTGGACTATTTGGTTATTTGTAGTTCCATCTGGTGATATAGGAATAATGTTAAACTAAGTATCATATTCCAGATTGTAGTCCAACAGTTATTAAGAATTCAGCGTGTTTTTACGTAGAATCTTAAGCTGATTCTGAAACTGTCTTCAGTTTTTCTCCATCACGTCCAGTTTTCGAGATATCCAAAAAATATGGAAAATCGTAAATTAAAATACCTAGTAACGGTTATGTTCAGTGTATTTTTGATTTTGCGGAGTGTGTTTCTGTAGCTATATGGACATGAAAGTAGAGATCCAAACGAACATTTTGAGGTATTAATGGTATTAATCGGATCCTCCGTTATTTTGATACAGCCTAAAACAACTCAACAAAATCAGACTTTTTTGGCATTTTTCCCATTTTTTTACACATAATCGCACCGTGACAAAAAGAGTTATATATGAACAAAAAAGTTAGCTTTGCTATCCTGTAGAACATTTAATTCTCTAAATATCGAAGCATTGGACACCGTGGTCGACCGTATTTTACCGGAAATATCGTTAATTTACGAGAATTGTGCAAAATTTCATTTTTTGCCATTTTCACTGCATTGTTGAAACATTATTACGAACAATTTTTTTTTAATAAAGAGGTGTTTTAACTCTTCCAGGCACTAAGTATAAACATTAAATTAAATTCTACTGTCCTTAGCTATATACACCGTTTCTCCAATTGTTACATTTAAATGACTCAAAATTTAGTTCCTTCCAAAAGAAAAAAATATTTGTTTTTGTATATGTTGCGAAAGTATGACTACATCAATAGGATTTCCCCTTGCAAGTCGAGCAACGCTGGAATGTTGCGGAATATTACAAATCTTTACTACAATAATCATTTTTTTTACATTTAGCTTCAATTAGTATCCCTCATAGTAAGTCCAATAAAATATTGCGGTCGAATTTTTATACTATTACATTTTCTTTCGGTATGTATTCGAAGGATTTAAAAAACAAAGTAACATTATTGGTATGCGGCTTAACGTCATACAAAAGTTCTCAAACGTTAAAATATTTGTATTTTTAGATTTAGTAGGAATTTCAACGTTTTTTTTTATTGCAAAGTTCGTATAAGGATAAATTCTTAAACTAGTACTAATTAGATGTTGAACTGCTAACAAGTAAAGTACAGTGTATTTCTTTTTCATTTATATAAACAAACTTTTTTTACTAAAACGACAGTATAAAATAAAGTGACGCAACATGAACACCAATAATTGTATTTACTTTATACTTTTGTTGTGCTTGTCGGGTATTAACAACATTACTGCACAATAATTCATTACTTATAAAACATAATTTTAATTTTCAGTTCATTCCAAAACCAAAGACAAATTTTTAGATGTTCAAGAAAAACTTAACAACAATAATTCCTATATTAAACATGATAAACGAATAAGAAACGGACAAAACATCGATATTACTGCTGCAAATTACTATGTTTATGTTATCTGCCATCAATCTCATTGTGGAGGTACTTTAGTGAAACAAAATAAAGTTGTAACTGCAGGTCATTGTGTGGATAGCTGTACATCAAGTCAATTTCAAATCGCCGTTGGTTTAAACGATCTTTCTCAATTAAGCCAAGCGAAAAAATATAGAGCTAATTCCATTCGACTACATCCGAGGTACAACAAACAACATCCATTTCCATATGATGTTGCTGTAATTACACTTTCACAAAATGTTGCATTGAACGATAAAGTTGGAACAATTAATTACGTTAGGGAAATTCCACCTTTACTTCGTACTTTAACCGTAGTCGGCTATGGATTTATTAATACAAAGGGCCAACAACCAAGGAAGTTGCAAAGAGGTCAAGTAAGAATTGTAAAAAAAGATAGGACACAACTTTTCACACAAGCATTAATAGGCTCTAGTGTTCTACCCGTAAGTTGAAAATTTCTGAAACTTTAATTTTATTTTTTAATAAACTGTTTAATTTTTTTAGGGTGATTCAGGTGGTCCAGCGATTTACAACAATCAATTAGCGGGGATTATATCAGGGACACGGTCATTAAATAACATCATTTTTCAGAACCTATTTGTTGCTGTGGGTCACCCAGATATTTATGATTTTATTAGAGACAATATGTAATCCTGAAATAGTTTCACATTAATAAACTTTGAAAAATAAAAAAACTTTACAGATTATTTTTGGTTAAAAGGGAAGATTATATCGAAATATGTTGTATTTCTCTATTTCTAATCCTCTGATAAACATGATTGCCACATGGAAAATGTGTATCTTACAATCATACAGAGAGAAGTGCACGGTCTTGTACATAAAATTAAGTTGTGATCACAGTAATACCATATAGTGTAGTATATAAGTTAGGCAACATAATATACTGACAATACGTTGCTAACTTGAAAGCTCGTGTTTTACTAAGCCGATGCCTACGACATTCCAGGCCGTAATGTGATGGGTTCGAGGTACAGGCTACTGTAACAAAGATAATATAGCAGTATAGATGTTTTAAAAAGACATTCAGTATTAGACGCACCTTACTTATACTTAAGTAAAAAAAGTAGTTTTGATATAATTATTTGCTCATATACTTACCGGTGGTATTAATAAGTACGAACGGAAACGAATAAATATTATCAAGATGAGTCTGTTAATGTAATACATGTTCAATCTACTTCATCTCAAGTGAATAATAACACTGAAATAGAAGTGCTCAGATAATGACAATTCAAAAACTTTTGAATAGCAATAAGAACTACAGTTTACTACAGTGATAAAAATTTATTCTACAACCAAGTAGAATCGCGTTAGTCCAAGACAAAATTAGTTTTCTATATCTATAAGCAAATTATAACTTTGAAAGAAAAATATTATAGTCTTGAGATTTGAAGACTATGTTAGTCTTGTTTTAATACTCCAGTAGCAATCTTAACTCAAGAATAATGCTATTTCGTACATTAAGTATATAGGTTCTTTCACGAATATGTTTATGCTCTTAAAACAAAACTTTTTAACATTTAAATGAAGATATTGTATATTTATTATAACATATTTAATTCTTGTATTAAGTACACATGTAACCGTTAAAGGTAATTTATTCTAAAACTTCTACACCTTTCTGTGACTTAGAGAGTGCATAATTTCGGTTTTAGCTTATGATTGTTACGGATTCTGAAGCTGTGTATATCTCTATAGGCAGTATATTATCTACATTGTTGTGTAAGTACAGCAGACACTCTAATATAAATGACGAGGGAAATATTATTATTTTCTGATCTATAAAGAATTCACGTCACTCGTCTCGATACTTCAGACCACATAATATGACACAATTGGCTCGTCGCTGCAACCGAAAAACCCTAAACCAACCCGAGCAGTTTACCCAGGCCAACAGAGAACATGATAATAGCGATTGACACAGTGCAAAGTAAGGAGTTCTCAAAATGTTGCTGCTCAGCTTTCCGCAAAGTATGTTTACATACTGCTCCTATTTCAATGTGGGGTGCAAGCGAACACCCAAAAAATCTATGAATTGCTCACCCATCAGATCTTGCTGAACGCCTCTTAGTGTAAAAACAGCTTCAGCTGTTTTGTTGGAATTCAGATTTAGACCGTTGCACGCAAACCACTCCTAAGCCTCAGAGCGCGACGCCCGATTTACTGCAACAGCATCAATGAGGATTTTATGTCTGCTCATTAAAGTAGTGTCGTCAGCGTAGAATATGATTGAAGACTTAGATATTGAAGCAGGCAAGTTATTTATGTAAATGAGGAAAATCAGTGGCCCCAACACTGACCCTTGTAGAACTCCAATAGAATTGCACTCTGATGTAGAATAGCTATCATTACAACAGACTATTTGTCTTCTGCCACCAAGGTACGATTGAATCATCTTAATACTACCGTCAACAATCAAAGGCCTTGCTGAGGTCGCAGAACGTAGTTGTCATATACTCACCTCTCTCATAACAGTCAAAGAAATCAACAATTCTATTCTTTATGATTTATTCAAAAATTTTTGAGAATACAGGTGGGAGTGAGATTGGTCGATAATTTTCTATTACAAGAGGATCGTCTTTCTTAAAGACAAGAGTTACCAATGCCAACTTTAACACATTTGGAGAACATTCAGCTTTAATATTACAGTATTTAATCCGTATAAATCCCTAGAGGAAGTATTTTTTAAAGAACAGATTATATCACGAACTTCAATTAAACCGACAGGCTCCAGGCAGAATTTCTCAGGTGGTACAGTGATATTCGATAGCAGCTGATTAAAGTTAGTTGTCAAGTTACCCCGCTGAATTTTATTAACAAAACCTAGGGGAACATTTATAAAGTAATCATTTACTTTATTTGGGTCAACCATTGCTTTAGTATTACTTTTCTTGCTTATTCGATCATTGTTAACTATTTTCCTTGTCTCTTTCCTTCTAGTTGTCTATTTTCCTTCTAGTTTTCTTGTCTCTATAATTTTTTGTTATAAAGTTAAGTTCTCGCTTTAGTTTCTCACAACCTATGGCATTGTGAATATCTCTTAAGAAATGCAGTCGATTCCTTATGCAGTTGAGATCTGCAAAAAAACAGCTTGTGCGTTTCTTATTAATTTGCACAATTATTTTACCCAGAAATGCGTTCATAGATACGTTCACGAAATTTATCAGTTTGATTGATTGGCAGTCAAATCATCATGCGATATGAAATCCCAATTTATATCATATACAGAGTTATAAAACAACATCTTTCCATGACTCGTAATTAGCCTGCATCTGTAGATAGCATCTAAAGTGTTTTTTATCTTTCTTAGGTCATCTGAATTCATTTTAGTGTTGATAGACATATTTTCTTTTTTATTGTTATTTCTCGAAAAACAGACTATTGCGATATTTGAATAAAAATGAAATTAATATGAAAGCTGATAAGATATGTCAACTTATTTGGATCCACGATACAAAATGAACTTTTAAGTTATTAATAATTGGCGATATTTCCACAAGGATCCTTCAAGAAATGAATTTTATAGCGAATTTTGAAAATTACCATTGAAAATTGCAACATCGAAAATTTTATCATAACTTCAAACATTTTTTTCTCCAAAACTAAAAGTTATTTTTCAAAACGGGTTGGTTCATTGGCAAGAGGACACTTCTATTAACACTTTGGGAAATTTTCATACTCATATTCCAGGAACTGCATTTTATACAAATTTTTAAATCTTAATCGGCGAAAATTGAAAAATTCGAAAAAAATGTCGATTATTTCAAACATTTATTTCTCAAGAACTGAAAGTGATTTTTCAAAACGGCTTCTTGCATTAAAAAGAGGATACTTTAATTAATAATTGGTGATATTTCCACAAAGATCCTTCAAGAAATGACTTTTATAGTGAATTTTGAAAATTATCGATGATAATTGCAACATCGAAAATTTTATCAAAAAATCAAATATTGTTTTCTCAAAAACTAAAATTTATTTTTCAAAACGGGTTGGTTCATTGGAAAGAGGACACTTTTATTAACACTTTGGGAAATGTTCATACTCATATTCCAAGAACTGGATTTTATACGAATTTTTAAAACTTAATCGGCGAAAATTGCAACATTCGAAGAAATTGTTGATTATTTCAAAAACTTATTTCTCAAGAACTAAAAGTGATTTTGCAAACCGGCTTTTTGCATTAAAAAGAGGATACTTTAATTAATAATTCGTGATATTTCCACAAGGATCCTTAAGAAATGATTTTTATAGTGAATTTTGAAAGTTATCAATGAAAATTGCAACATCGACAATTTTATCAAAACTTCAAATATTGTTTTCTCAAAAACTAAAAGTTATTTTTCAAAACGTGTT